GTAGCTAATAGCTCCTGAATGCTACACTGCTCACTCCTCCCTTTCTGTCTACCAAGCCCATAATCAGGCACTTGCAAGCCTTTTTTGCACGGTACAGTTACAACATAAGAAATATTCTGCAGACTTGCAGAGTAATTAGCATCCTGCATCTGTCAATTCTGGTGAAATATAACAGAATCTGCATCATGAACCATCCCAGTAGAACATGCTTGACTGCAAGTGAGTCTAGCAAAGGGACTACTGCTTTTTGTCAGGCTCTTCCGCCGCTTGACTTCTCTAGTGTTGAGACTTATCAAGGTTTAGTGTCAAGTGAATCTTCATATCCTTTTTTGAAGCAATCAGGAAAACTGAGACTCCCTTCTGGACCAAGTGATATCTTCTCATCTAGCTGTGACAACCATCTTAAAAGTGCACCTTCTCGTTCTTCTATGTTCTGCACGAACTTGTATCTATCATCTTCAACGAGTTCAGAAGCTCAACGACAGCTTGGGAATCTTCCATTTCTTCCAAGCCCCTCTGCACCTCGATCAACAAAGACTCAGTTAGTTCTGAATGAAGATACGGATAGTCAATGTGAGCAAAAGCACTCAGAGGATACATATAGGGATTTTTTTAATTATTCTGGAAGCTTTTCTGATGGTGACTTTGATGATGTTACTTGCGGAAGTGACTCTTTGGCCTTTTCAGAGCGTTTGGAGCTACAGTTATTGTCTGATGAACTACAATTAGCTATAACTGATAATGGAGAAAATCCTGGAATTGATGTAAGTGCCCAAATAAATAATCGTGCTCTATGAGAATTGGCTGGTCATATGTAAAGAAGATTCTACAGCCCAGTCTCTATATATCTGACTATCTTAACTTTTTGAATAGCTGTTTGAACATTTTCAGGCTTTTTTAAAAATATGATTCTGTTTGCACTTTTGGTTATTAGGAACTATATGAAGCATCTCCTGTGGCGTTGAGGCCAGTCGTCCCATCAACAGTACAAAACAATGCTCAGCCTGTTTCACCATCCTTAAGTGTTATTTCTTGTAACAAGACACCTGAGGCTGGTGCTTCTCATAAGCCAAGGATGAGATGGACACCAGAGCTCCATGAACGTTTTGTCGAAGCTGTCAAAAAACTTGATGGTCCTGAAAGTATGTTTCTGATTTTTCTTTCTTTAAATATGTTTTTAGTATTAATAATAACTGAGACTACAATGGTTTGGGATGGAGGGAGTATAATGCAGATGGCGGATCTTTATTGAATTTTGTGAAGTTTGCTTATTGTTCATTAAATTGCAGAGGCAACTCCTAAAGGTGTATTAAAGCTTATGAATGTTGAAGGGATCACCATCTATCATGTTAAAAGCCACCTGCAGGTAAGTAGATAACTTTGGTTTATGCTTCTATGTTGTTGTTTTTGTCATTCGGCTGAATGCATTTTTTTCTTTTTCTGTAGAAATACCGACTTGCAAAGTATATACCAGAAAGAAAGGAAGGTGAGACAAGTTTTAATTATGATTGTCATTAGTGAAATTAGAAATTTCAGGAGCATGAGATGTTTAAATTGACTATGTAAGCATTAAGATTTTCTCTTCAAATCAAATTCATGGGCTCTTTTGAAAGGTTGAATTATTACAATTGTTTTCTATTATGCATAATTGCTTCCCACGAAGAAAAATAGATCAATAACTATCAAGTTACTGAAAATGTCTCAAATGTCAATAACGGCTTCTGAAACTAATATATTTTTCTTAAAAGGGGCTGAAGCTATATTATATGTGCCTGAGAAAACGTAGTGCTTTTATGTCCTCTGGAACTTGAATATTAATTCCTTTCTTTGATTTTATTTCAGTAGAGAAGAAGACTTCTAGTTCAGAAGAGAAAAAATCAGATTCAAGTACCAAAGAATCTGATGCATCAAAGAAAGGGTTTGTGACCTAACAACTAGTAGTTTTTTCCATCTGTTTGTTGTCATTGTTAAAATTAAACCGTTTTCTTCTTTTTACAACTTCAGGAGTATAAACGAGGCTCTCCGAATGCAAATTGAAGTTCAGAAACAGCTGCATGAACAACTTGAGGTTGGTCTAGTTATCTGTAAACTTTGCTTTACTTGCAATATCTTCTTGTCAGACTGCACTACACTCCCCCTCCTTCCAGACCATTCATAATCTATGTTATGGCTTGGCTCCTATTAAAATAAGTCCTTTTAAAAAAAGTATGATTATTCTAGTAGTCGTAATATTATCTTCAGAAAAAAGATGGATACATCTATTATAACTTCTAATGTACATTAGTAGTATCCAAGGTGTTTTATTCTGATTTGTTCTGTGCACAGGTGCAACGAGCACTACAGGTACGTATAGAGGAACACGCACGCTACTTGCAGAAAATCTTAGAAGAACAGCAAAAGGCTCAAACTGCCTTGGTCTCATCACAGTCCTTGTCATCAGTTACAAGTGAAGAGCCAGAGATGGAACCGTGTCCTGAATCGCTACCTAAGCCTGCTGAATCCAAAACTGATGTATCCTTTACGTTGCCATCAAAGCACACAAATGAGGAATCTGAGCATGAACCATGCCAGAAAAAGCCTCGACTGGAAGATGATTCTAAACCCGAGCCTGTTTCAGATGTGCCACCAGTTGTCGACATTTCTCTATGATTGAGTGGTATCTAAGACTTCTTTCTACCCGTCAGTCTTTTTCTCTACCTTGTAAATATAGTCTCTATGAGCCATAGCTAGTATCAGTATTCACCAAGTTCCAAGCTGGTGTGAATTAATTTTTTCAACTTCCGTAAGTACTCTAGGTCATATTTTCGCGCTTAATCAGTGATTCCTTTTCTTTTTTGGCACTCTCCTTTCCTCCAACTCCAAAAGATTCATACCAAAGAGAGGAAAAACAAGTTATTCTTTCACATTATTGTGCTTGAATTTTAATATCTGAAGACTGAAGCTCTTTGTCAATCTTTTAAACAGGAACAGTTGGTGTCATTAGTCAAAGCAATAATATAAGCAACTTTAAAGCTCTTGTTAAACCTACTTTCCTACCAAGTTAATTTATTTTGCTAATTCAAATTTAAAAACTGTTTATTTTTAATTTTTAGATTTTTAAATTTTAAACTTTTTATCTTAAATGTATTTGTCAATGTTTTAGACTGGTGCAGTTGGTATTGTCAAAGCAATAGCATTTGCAATTAAGCATTATTGCTATCTAATTAAGCCTTTGTAAATGTGAAGTTATATTTGGTAACTGTATTTGTTTATGTGAAAAAAATGAAGTGTATATAACAGTACAGGAGACAGAATATTTTCTTGTAAGGTTCAATTTAGTTAATTATATTGATGATATACTTTTTGATCCAGCTAATTTCTTTTACATTCTACATGTTCTAGCCATATTGTATTTATAAAATTTTGTTCTATAAAATATTTCAAAGTAAAGGTTGTGTAGTAAGTATGAATTAGAGTTTGTTAGGCATCATTTTTAGTTTTCAGTTTCCTGTTTATTTGAAAACTAAAAACCAAAAACAGGAAACAAGAAAAAGACGCTTTCACTTTTCTGTTGTCAGTTTTCAAAATTATCATGATTTTAATAAGTTTAAATATTTTTTGATTCATTATGTTACATATATAATATACTTTTAAAATACAAAAAACCAAAAAACAGAAAACCATAGCGATGCCAAACGAACCCTAAACTATTCTAGCTTTGGGCCTATATACAATAATGTACAACTTTCAATTATGTGTTGCCTTTGAGTATTTGACCCTTTTGTGACTTAGCGAGTGTGTACCGTGTAGTAGTGTACCCTCGATGTACCATCAAAACCTAAGAAAGACAATTATAAGAGGTTGAGGTGGTGGAGTAATGGGCTAATGACATCGTTCTGAAGTCTTCACCTTAGTTTTTATGTGGTCTAACAATCAAATCAACTCATTTGAGGGATTTTCCTTATCTAGTTTTTAGTCAGAGCGTCTATATGTAAAGTTTTCTAAACTACTTTAAATTATTAATTTTATTTTAATACAGAGTAGTATATACTCCGTATTTTTATTATAGGTGAAGATCACAATTTTTTAATAATATGAAGCATTTCGTAAACTATTCTAAATCAAAATTGGATCATTAAACTGACTGTTGTGCATTTACCAAGAAGAATACAATTTTTGTTACTTAATTTTACTGAGAAGTATACAATTCATGTTATTTAATTTTTACTCTATTAACATACATTGAGAATATTCTCAATCCGAATAGAGGTGCACTCCATTTTGCTCTTCTTCAAATACTCATACGTTGTATACGATGTATCTTCATATTTTACAAAGCATTGGTAATTAACTTTGTTGGAGTCAAATTAGTAATGGTAATTTCTAAATCAACCACTTGACTAGCTAACTACTAATAATTCAATTATTTCTTAGGAACTCATAATTGATCTTGTTTGTAAACCTAAACCTACTTTTCAATGGCTTTTTAGGTGGATTTTTTGCTAGTCAAAATTTTCATCAAGAGTCATTGAATTTATGTTACAATATTAAATACGGAGTATGTAGTAACTTACACTTATCTCCCACTTTGAAAATTTAAAACTTGCACTTGTGACATTAATTATTACAAGTTACAAACTCATATTAACACATATTATCTTTCGTTTACATTTACAAATAAACCGACAACCTGCTCAAACAAATGACTAATTCCGTATACTCCGTATATAGAAAACTTTAACCTAATTACTTGTATAGTTGTATTACAGTACTTGGAAAAAAAAAGGTAAACCTAAGAGAGTAAGAGGTATTTGTAGTAGACATAATATACGGAATTATAGAATAACATACTCCGTACAAGGTAATATATGCATGAATGTTTGGTAAACTTATTATAAACCTGATACACACAAGAGACTCGATTGGTAATACGGAATACTACTCCGTATATTCCTAATTCTTTATCGGAAAACAATGAGAAAAGCTACCTGTTTTGGTTAAAACTATAGCAGGTTTGATAAACAAGAACGATAACGAGTTTATTGTGGAATTGTTGGAATAATGAAAAAGACTGCTAACTGTTCACTCAATTCATGTAATTAATGTCGTGGTTTTTGGCCTTTTTCTCAAATTAAGTTCACATGAGCCATAGTATTGTCACCCTCTCCATCTCTCATTTCTTGTCTTCTCCTGTCAATTCATTATTTGCATTTTACATGAAACTTCTTCTTCAATATTACAGGTTTTAAACCCCTATTTTAAGCATTTTTTCTTCTTTAATCTTCTTGTTTCGTCTTTTTTAATTTCTGGGTTTTAAAGGTTTTGCTGTGAAATTTTGCAGTTTTTTGTGGGGTTTTTTTTTTTGTTGGTGGGGTTTTTTTTTTTCAGTTTCTGAAATTAATACCCAGTTGCAGAATTCCGCCATTGTTGAAAAGCTTTGAGTTTTTAGGGGTCCCATTAAAGTATGCATGATTGAAGACATGGCTGCAACTTCAGCGGTTCTGTAAGTGTTTCTCTCTCCTCCTCCTGTCTTTCTCTTTCTAAGAGTATTTACAACAAGTATTTAGGTTAATGGGTATGTTTGAAATTGAATTTTCCCTCCTTTTTTTGAGTAAATTATTGTTTGGTTTAATGTGGATTGCAACTGGGTACTGTTGAATTGATTAATTTCTGTGTGTATTGAAATAATTTCGAGGAATTTACTTTACTGCTATAATTCTACATATTTCTGTGTCTTACATTGTTTATTTTTCATTCAAATGTTTGTAGAAATGATACTGCAGTTGAGTATGCTTCTAGTGGTTCAGTTGATAATGGTTCCAATTCTCGGTTGGATGAGGGTCAGTGCCATTGGTTTTCTCCCAAGGTGAGGTCTCTAGTCTTCATAATGTGAAATAAGGAAAGATAATGGTAATTTGTAGAGTTGTTATCGGTCTGTTGTAAGGTTTTTGACAATTAATTTGAAGGAGAAGTTCAATTTTATGAATTATAGTCGTGGGTTTTTCGGAGCCGGATTGAAGGCCAGAAACTTGTTATCAATTAGTGATGTAGCGAAGTTGGTTGCAATTTCTTTGATTTATTTTTGATGTTTTCAGTTACGAATTCTCAACCTTAATCTAGGTAGGATCTGGGAGCCATTATTAGTATAGGGGCAAGGCATCTCTACTGTGCATTTTTAGCTAAACTTATTGATCATGCGTTTTTGCCATCACGGCCTAAAATGTGCTATACACAGGAGCGTGAAATGTAGGTCTATGCTGGGTGAAAAATGTGAGATTTAGTGGAGGCAGTAGATGGTACATGGCAGGAACTTGAAATGTACGAGGATTGTTTTCTGTTTCCTTTAGTTTTAGATACATGATTGATTAACTTTTAACTTAGAATCAACAAGGGTGAAGCTTTGTCTATACTAAAGTTTTTTCCTTCCATTAAAAACATGGCTATATAAGTTTTCTAACATATGACTGATCTTGCTTTCTTGTCTTTTGGGAGCTAATTATTTGTGATTTATGCTAGGCAAGCAATTATACTGAAGCCGAAAATGGGGGATACTATGGCAGAGGTGATGGTGTTTTTGATTACAAATTTCAGCTTGAGAAAGATGTAAGTCTTTGAATTTATGCTATTGTTATGTTTATCTAAAGAAGGCCTTCTGTTTCTTCACCCAGCAATCTCTGCAATATTAGAAGTTGAACTTAAACTAAGAATTAGAAAGAACAAGACATGCTTAATTTTGCAATCCGCAAACAAAAGTACCTGTCTATATACTGGTTAAACAAAATAGACTCGGTAGCTTCTGTTTTCAACATAATTTAATACACTCTCACTTTAATGTCTGAACTCATCCTGCTAATGTTACACAAAAGATTGCTGGTTGTGGACTAAAGTGAAGGGTTGAGACCAAATTAAGAGATTGCAAAGTGTTTTGCCTTGGTCTTTTTCTTGTTGCCACTCTCTAGTGTGGTTCTGTAGAATTCTGGTTTAGTACGATTGTTACCTGTGTTTCCTTTTAGTAAACTCTAGTTATTTACTTAATTTGGACTTGGCCTCTGGGAATTCTGTGAGAAGTCTGGCATTGGATAATTTGGATTATCATGGATGTTCAGTTACTCTTGGAGTTTGATGTCCAACTCTGAAGTATTGCCTCATCTTGTTAAATAATTTGAACTTTCAGAAAGTTGATATACTGGGCCTGATGATAGTTTCAAACTTAGGGTAATAGGGGTCGTACATAATAGCGTTAACCCTAGAGATGTGATTTGTCCCCTTGTTGCTACAGGACTGCTGTTATTGGCAGTTTGCACTGACAGAAGCAACCAAGAAGATAGACACAAAGGATGCATACAAAAAAGATTTCCACTACATCTGGCAATACATGATCCCTATCCATAGATTAATAGACTTTGATTAATTAATTTGGGTTAGACTAATAACTTCCCTTGGATACGCATCCAATTGTTTTTCCCCTACATACCACTTCTCTTATCTGACTTAATGAGATTTATATTTAGTCCATGCCAATAGTTGTGTACATGTGTTGTGAGGCGGCTAATATTGTCCTAAACAGAAAGGAAAACCCTGTGTACTCTTACATAGTATAGTTTATACTATGACTTCACTGATACCTGGCTCATATAATGTAGCTCTCAGATATAGTTAGATACCATTTTTTTTAAGTAATTGATAATAGATCATAGTTCTAATATAAATTCTCTATTCTGCCCTCAAAAAAAATAAATATAAATTCTCTATTCAGGTTCGAAGTTTGCATCAACAGCTGCAGGAGGAAAAGGAGTTGCATGTGACTCTGGAACATGCTGTCGAAAAGAACGTCATGGAGCTTTCTACTCCATCTCACTTTCCTCAGCGTGTATGTCATGTTTAAAGTTTGTTTTTCAATCGTCTTTTGGTTTTGGCTCATTCTAAATCTGTCTCATTCATAAAAAATGATTTGAGCATTCCAGGACACCAGGCAAATTAAACAATGCGTAAATCATTTTCTGATACTTCCTATCTTCTTTTAAATGCAACAATTGACTGGCACATTGCCAAGGTATATGACCGTAATATCTTTGATTAGGGGTGAGCGTAGCAGGGTACCCTATAAAAATCTCAGGACCTGAAACCGGAACCCGTTCAACAAGTTCTTAAAAATTTTAAAAATTAGGAACCGTCCGGTTCCGGAACAGGGTACCCTGTCTTTCAAAGTAAGCTTAATAGTTACTTGATTGTCTAGAATATTTATACAAATTTACAAATACTTATATTAATACCATTAATTAAACCTTTAAGAGTAAGATGAAAAATGAATAAGAGGAGGGAGAGAGGTAGGTGATGGCTTTTATATAATTTTAATATAGGGCTTTTATACTTGGGCTTAAATGATAGGTTCCGGTTTCGTGTAACCTATAAGGGAACCTATACTAACAGGGTACCCTACAGGTTCCGGTCCAAAATTTTATTACCCGGAACCGGAACCTGATCTACAGGTTCCGGTTCTAGAACCTATGGTTCTGAACAAGTTCCTGTTCTAGGTCAGGGTACCCTAAATTTTTGGTCACCCCTATCTTTGATTGTATACTAAAAAAAAAAAAAAAAAAAAAGAAGAAGAAAGTTACTACTTACTAGTATGAAGAGGGAGTATATATGTAGGGAATGTGGAAGTGGAATTCTGGTGAGGTTAAAGCCTCTGGAATTTGAAATGCTTTATAATATATGATGGTATATTGGTATAGGCATCCTTTCTTACCCCCCCCCCCCCCCAACAAAAAAAAAAAAAAAAAAAAAAATTGAGATGGGAGTACTTACAATTGTCTTTTCGAAGGTAGTTAGGGCGGGGGGGGGGGGTTGTTGTAGTTGTATATGTACTATGTAGCTTTTTGTGTACAAAATTATATTTGGACAGGCTAAGCATTACTATTGATTGGTGACAGATTCTGTGTTCTTTCTGAACTGATAGCAGTTATTGTGATAACTATGTAGACAGTGGAGCTTTTGTCCAGTATTACAGCACTAGAGGCCTCAATTTCAGAACTTGAAGAAGAGATGGTTTCTCTCCATTATCAACTCAGTCAAGAAAGAAATGAAAGGAAACTTGCCGAATATCGTTTGCAACGTTCTTATTCTAAGAAGACATCTTCACCTTCCTGGCAGGTATCTTCGAAAATATAGGATGGAGTGTTAAATTGTTAATTATTCCCTTTGCATCAGTATTCCATGTCATTAATGGCATTACCTGCATTCCTGCATAATCATCCACAGCACTTAGTACTTGCCTACTCGGATATTGGTTGTATGCAGTAATGTTTATGATGTTAGCAATTTAAATAATTTATGACTTCATGTTGCTCACCTGAATAAGTAATTTCTGCTTTTTCAGGGGAGCCAATTGTCTCCAAAAATGTATCCCAAGGATAGTGGGGCTGTGAATGTTGGAAAGCTCACTAAGGAGCTTTCTTCTAAGGGTCTATGGAATCATCCTAATCGATTATCAGAGGAGATGGTGCGATGCATGAGAAGTATTTTTATCTCTTTGGCAGAATCTTCTCCTTCGTCAAACGATATCACAATGGATACCCCGAGTTTACCTCATGCTCATCCTTCAAATGCACCATCATGGTCACTATCTGAACACTTGATGGTTCCCATGTGGGCGAAAAGCCCACAGATTGATTTGCCGCGTGATTCTGAGGTGCTAGGAACAGAAGGTACTTTTGACCCTTATAAAGTAACTGGAAAATTAAGTTGGATGGAGATTGGGAGATATGGAGTGGCAATAGAAGTTTCTTGGATGTCAGTAGGGAAAAGCCAGCTGGAATATGCTGCAGGATCTCTGCGGAGATTCAGGTAAATATTTATCTTTTTTGCTTTGGTTCTTAGATAGCCACATTAGGTACTGATGGAGACATAATTTGATCTTGTGTTCTACTCCAAAGTCTACCTACTAGGTTACTAACAAGTTGGCATCCACAATTTTCGTTTTCTTTTTAATACATTTGACACAGAATTGATGGTATGATCTTGAACATGGTATCAAGTAAATTTTAGGTTGCTCAGAATAGTGAATGGTTTAATTTTTATACAACTTGCATTGTCAATCTTGTCAAATGAGGCTAAGAGGTCCAGGCCTGATCATGGAATTATTGCTTATTAATGCATTATGGTTTCTCATTTTTTCTGAGGACAGGATACTTGTTGAGCAATTGGCCAAAGTGAATCCTATCCTCTTGAGCAGTGATGAAAAGCTGGCTTTCTGGATCAACTTATATAATGCCTTGATTATGCATGTGAGTTTCCTACATTCTGTTACATTGAGTAATAATGCATTTTGGCTGTTAAGATGCCAACCTAATATTTTGTACTGTTGCACCTTACTATAGGCTTATCTAGCATATGGGGTCCCACGAAGTGAAGCAAAGTTTTTTTCGCTGCTGCAAAAGGTTTGAGCACTGTTATCCGCTTTATCTTCTTTACCATTTTGGGCCTTTTTGGCTGATAAAACCATTTTACTTCCAAAAAGTGTTTATTTTAGAATCAATAGAAACCTAGAAACCAAGACAAATTAGCAACAAATGTCAAATGACTTTCTCAAAACTAGATAATAAAAGAATGTTTTGGGTTAAGTAATTTATTACTCAATGTTAGAAAAGAGATGCTTTGTAAATAGAGAATAAATTTAAGGAAGCAAGCAATGCATATATGCAAAATTAGATACAACTTTAAGCTCCTGAACAACAGAGCTGATCAGTTGCTCCTTCTGCAAACTTCATTCAAACATAATGTTTTTTCGTAGTAGTCATTGTAAAAAGATCTTTGTGATTGTAGTGCTGTTTTTGGAAGATAAGAAAAATAAAAAGGCTTACATTAAGTGTCCTTGTTCTCAGGCAGCATATACCGTTGGAGGCCATTTATTCAGTGCTGCTGTCATTGAGTATGTGATTCTGAAGATGAGACCACCGATTCACCGTCCCCAAATTGTACGGATCTGCCTTCTGATGCCTGTTAATCTGATTATTTTATTTCCTGATCGATTTTTCACTCTGTGATGCTTCTTTTTTACTATTTCCACCTTTAGGCCCTGCTGCTCCCTCTTAATAAGCTAAAGGTATCCGAGGAACAAAAGAAATTCGCAATTGATTCTTATGAACCAAATATCGCATTTGCCCTCAGTTGTGGGATGTACTCATCGCCTGCGGTAATTCTCAACAAACGTTAGAAATCCTTTTTTCTTGTTTTTGGGTGCTTTTGTATCATCACTCTGATATCTGAAGTTTCTTGTTTCTCCTGTCAAATGTAGGTTCAGGTGTTCACAGCAAAGAATGTTAGAGATGAACTTGAAGCAGCACAACGTGATTTTATTCGGGCTTCAGTTGGTGTGAGTAGCAAAGGGAAGTTGCTGGTGCCAAAGATGCTGCACTGCTTTACCAGAAATAACGTAGATGATTCAAAACTCGCTCAATGGATATCGCGTTATCTGCCTCAGGACCAGGCTGCTTTTATTGACCAACACATAACTCAAAAGCGTCAGAAACTCTTTGGCTCTCGAAATTGTGGGGTCCTTCCTTTTGATTCTCGGTTTCGCTACCTTTTCGTGCCTGAATTGGTTTACTAGTAATGGCATGCCTGTTCAGTGTAGTTCAGCATCAACTCTGCTTGAGTACATGGCGGCTTAAATGCTACCCAGACCTGCAGTGTAAATCAGGAATAGGAGGGTATAGAGTGGGACAATGGGTGCTTTTTTTTTTATCCCAAGGAGCAAAATTTAGTTCAAATTTCTGGTACATATAAATGTAAATACATATCAGTGTAATCATAAATTTGTCAGTGCAAATAAATTTAGTTTCTTCAATTTGAATGATATTGAATCATTAATTCATTACATTACTTGAGTGAGTACAACAGTAGTCAGTGTATAATTACTATGTACACACCATTTCTGGTTAAAATTCCACAAAATTCATGATTTTCATCAAAATTCACATAAATGTCGACAGTAACACAGGAATGACCATTATCCTTTCCCTATTTGAGAGTATAATCACAATGAAATGCATTGATGTAGATACTGAGTGAAATATGATGACCGAGATTATATCAACGTCTCTTATCTGCATCGTCGAGCAAGTTGCATATATCTGAACATTCCACCAAGCTGCACAACAGATAAATCCATGAAAGCATACAAACAAGAATTAGAAACAGGTCTAAATATGAGTTCAAATTTCTCTCATAATCTAAAATACTACAGGCACAAAAAAACCTCATTACAGAGGAATTATGCAGAGCTCAGCTATAATGATCTTTCATAATATGAGTAGAAAAAGAAAACTTCTTACCAATATTGTCGACTTCGAAATCCCTGCTTAAATACAATTATAGGTCTGCAATCAAATACAACAACATAAAAAATTATGGAAAATTTGAAATTAATCAAAGCCCATGAAAATATGATATTTTATACTGGTGTTAGTTAACAAGGCCACTCTGTCACTTACAATACCTTCGAACATTTAGAGGACCTTCACCGGGGGAGCCATCGCCACCACGAATACAAGTGCCAACACACTTAGTAGTACAAGACTCAGCATTCCTAGACTTTGGACGTTGAATTCTGTTCTTCTTCATATTACTCTGATCACACTCTTTGTCCATAGGATCACAAGACTTCCCTGAAAGCTCTTGTGGTATATTGGACAACGTTTCTTCGGAAGGCGGAGGCGTCGAAAGCACCACTGCAGCTGCTAGCATGCCAATCCCACTGATGGCATGACAGTTCCCTACATTTGCATTATTCCCATTTACATTGATGATCTTCCATACTGAAGATGAGGGGTGAGAATGAGAATAATGATGGTATAGTTTTTTGTTGAAAGTTAAGGATTTGAGAGTTTGGGTGTGTAAAGTTAGCATCATTTCAATGGTGGAATGAAAGGAAGTTGGGATTTGTGGATTAGATTTTTCTTCCCTTTTTTCTGTTTTGTTTGGATGGGAGGATTTCCAATTTGGATTCCTGGACCCTGGTTAGTTTGACAGGTTGTGCTTTGAGGTTATTAGAGGTTTCGAGTTCGAGGACCGTATCAGACAGTTCCAAGTTGAGTTTATAATATCTTTATGAGGTTCTAAAGAATTTTTTAGACAATTTCCAAGTTGAGTTGATAATATCTTAGTCAATTGATGGACTCAAATCTGCCTATTATAACCCTATAAGGGCAATACAACTGTTGGATTTTTGATGTGATATCAATTTAAATGGTAAAAAGTCAACCTATCTCAGAGAGTGGATTTAAGAGTCTACTCTCGAACTTTTTTCTTCTTAAAAACAACTTTTGTCTAGCTTAAAAATTTTAAAAAGGCATTATATTTATCGAGTATTTCTTGGATCTTGAGATTGAATAGTGTAGATTTTAATTTAATATAAGCTACAGTCATTTAGACTAACTTTTAGGTTAATTTGATTTCACTAACATATGCCATATTTTAGATAGGAACCTTTAATGGAGCCTTTTAATTGATTAATTTTGTAACTTAAAGCTTATGCACACAAGTTAGAAATTAATGATAATGAGCAATCTAATGAAAAATTCTGAAACGAGAGAGTTAAACGTTGTTAGAACAACTAATATAGATTTTTTGGCTTAGCAAATTGTTCAAATCCTTACCTCCAATTACTCTATGTATGCAACATAAACACGTGACATACCTATATTGACCTTTCATTCGAACTTTTCATTTTATCTCATATACCCTAGTCAGATTTTCGAAACTCCCAATATGGGTATGGACATTTAACACTTCATTTTGGATACGTTCAAACACTTGGAACTGTACTGACACCACACAAATCTGAATAGCACAGTACTTAAACAAGATTCAATTCTCTTATGGGAAGCAAATAAAAAGCTCGTTGTTCTTGATAATAATCTGCAACTTTTTTCACACAATACAATGTCTTCATTTTCTATTTGCAGCAGATACAGGGTTGGTATTGATATTATATCTGTTTTCATCCCAAGAAAAAAATATACACGCAGTCTTTATATCCTATATATATATGCTATACACAATTATATCACCAAGTAACAAAGGGAAAAATGCTCATCAGATTAATCTCAGTTCTGAAGCAAACGCCAATGAGACGATCAAAATCTTTACATTAAGATATACTCCATTAGGTGTTCTTCTCAAGAACTGAGAGTGCCGGTGCCAAATAGTTATTCGCCTTATCAGGCAGATGTGCCACCTGCAAAACACCCGAACAACATAAGTTGCATAAAAACTAACTGTAAAGAGCGAAAAGTGCAAAACTTGTAAGCTAGAGATTTGATAGATTTATGCAAGAGAATCAGTTATTACCAGTTCATAAAGCTCCTGACCTTGCTCAGCCACATACTCATAGCACACCTGAAATTTTGCAGTAAGATAAAAAAAAATCAGGAATGTTTGAAATGCTCTAATTGATCATGACTTCAGTGTTTACTCACATCAAAGCTCTTATTTCTGGCTGTCGAATCATGCAATGCCTTCACACAGATATCGGCAACATCAGCACAACTTATTCCCTGCAATCAGTTTTGATTCAAAGACGGAATCAGAAAAACCAACAAATATATAGAGCCTTACAGTATGGTTAGCTCTTTTCTACTATGTTTACCTGAGAAATTCGGTTTCCCTGGTCAAAGATCAAAGCACGTTGCCCCCCGGGTTCTTCCTGTGAAACAAGTTAAACATACACTTTTTAAGTCATTTATAATCAAGTGAAATACGAGAAATTGAACACAGGTTATATTATGCAGAAGACGTTGAACATACCATCAAAGGACCAGGACGGACTATTGTATAACCAAGTCCTGATTTTCTCAACGAATCTTCACCAGCCTACAAAGGAGATTAAATGTAAATTTAGCACAATTACGCAGTTCCTATATATACATCATTCACCTGATCTTTAGTGAGCTACATTGGTGTTTACAAAACTAACTTTTACTGATCAAATCTGATGATTTTAGATTATTTAACTTTTATCGAATGTTTTCTTTACAAATTGAAGAGAGAAAGGCTAAGGTTATGGAGAGTTTTAAAAGCTGCTGTTAAAGGTAAAAGTCATACCTTCTTAGCTCTCAAAACCTGTTCCCTTCTCGAGGTCTCTATTCCTGATCCTGTACACGATACCAAGATGAAATCTGTTTCCTGACCACTCTGCACATATAGATAGATCATATCAGATGTTATGAAACCTGTAAGAACTTGCTATCATATAGTTTTCTGTGTTCTTAAGGCACTGTAATGAAAACAATGCTGAACTCACGGGCAAGGCTTTTATGTATTCCAAGATTAGCTCGAAATTTCTTGGGTCTTGCTTCATCCCATTAGGCCCTTCAACAGGTCTCTGCATCAAAATTTATATGAGCAAATTAGCAGGACTCAAAGAACATGTGATACAATGTACATGTTTCTGTACTGTGTTAGATGTTTGGCAGATGATTTTTGCATCAAAAACACTATAAAGATCAACGTGTGTTAAAGGAAGATGTTATAGTTACCTGTCTTCTAGGCTCAAAACGAATGGTCAAAGTGTGCGCAAGAAACGGATCCAAAGGTGGATCACTTGGATTCACTGGGCGAAAGGCTGAAAATGGAACTCTGACCTTCCAAACAGTAAGGAGAGAAATACAGGTTTCAGATACAGTACACTTTAGCGCTTACAAAAGGAATTTTAAGAAGCTAACATATCAACATTACTTATAGATTCTGTACCCTGCAAAAGCCTGCTTTTGTATTAATTCTTGCAAAATACAATTTGCTTTGGGTTGAATCCGCAAGAGGACCAGTTTCAAGGATTACAACATAAGAACGACCGTTGCCTCCAACAGAAAGAACAAGACCTTCATACCTAATCATCACACATTCTCCAAAATTAATGGCCAAGTTTCCATCACATAACATAAGGTGGAAAAAAAATAAGAAAAATGTGTGCAATATTACAATACTTGGTAGGACTTCGGAGAAGCATACCTGTCTAGAGTAGAACCCAAGGGGAGTGAAAGCTTTCGTGATAGTTCCACATATCCTCCTCTGGTGAAAACATATCCTTAAATGAAAATGGTAAATTAGAGATACAGAAACCTTAGAACCCCTTCCATAAGTTTTTTTTAATGATCAGTAAATGTCAACTGCATATTTTGCTTATTGTTCGGTATCAGGATCATTAACTGGACTAGTTGTTATAGTACTGAATCACCCAACAGTTTTCCAACCAGGCCGTGGTTTTCAGGCCTAATTTTACATGAATTTGCTTCAGTAAGATTATTTTTAGAACAAACATGTATATAAGTCTTTCTTTAAGCACACATGACATAACCAATAACCAATAACCAATAACAAAAGTATATACCAGAGAAAATGGCAAGGCCGTTCTCATTGAACTCAAACTTGGCTTCCATTCCTCCATCATATTTGCTGGCCACCACATCCTGGAAATAAGTCCCTTGTCGTACTTCCCATCCCTCAAGTGAATCTTTCGATTTGAATTTTGCAATTAGAAGTTTGCTTTTGCTGCTTTTACCTGCTCTTAACTGTGCCAATTTGTTGTTGTAGTCCTGCAATGTACACCATTGCATTGTGATTTAAGTACTCGTTATTAACGTATAAAAACCAAACAGCAATGCACACTATGGGAAGAGCTCTACCATTACACTATCTTCTAGTGACAAATAGCATCAGACCAACACTAGGAAGGATAACACCTAAAAGAAGGCACTGATTTAACACTAATACAACTCATCCTAGTATCCTACAATCAAACACTAGTTTTACTGAGCCCTACTTTCTTTCTGATATATGCTTCACAGTACACAACTACATACTATCAAAGCTATCAATGAATATTCTCACAGAAAGTACCATCACTACTATCGATCAATCAAAGCCTTAATCCCATAAGTGGGATCGGCTACATGAAATCAAAAATTACCATCACTACTATAGATAAGGTAATACCTGAAAGGCTTTCGCAGCATTATATACTCCACGGTTGTCAACTCTGTTGAGATCCCCTGTAATGGCAGAACGAGCAGTGGCACAATAAATGATTTTACTGCAACCTTCCACCGCATTTTGGAGACTAACAGGATCTCCTACATCCCCAACCACTAGTTCAACTGATCTCGGCATCATATCCATCACTCCTTGATCAATTCTCCTCACCAAGCCCTAGCATTCATTCATACATATCTTTCAACTTAAGAGTAAGCTTAACTGAATACAATCAAATGAAAAACAAAAACCATTTCATCAAATTCAATCTTGGTCATTTTAAAGCTTGTTTCAATCCAAGTTCATCAACAATAATGCCATGAGGCAATATTATGAACTACACTATTGTTACTTATTAGACATAATCACATCTATGGGCTTGTTCTCATTTACTGAAATGAGCTGAGCTAAGCCGAACTGAACCGAGCTGAAATGAAGCTGAAGAGAACATACCCTAACTCAATTTCAATTTGCAATACTCCCTTAAATAAAAAGCTTCACATTCATTTTGTAAAATGACTTGCATTGAAGTAAAAATTCAATATCAAAAGTTATATACCCTACATTATAAAACAATCTTTAATAGACTAATTCAAATTGCTCAATACTACTTCTAAGTATTCCTCTACTTATAATAACATATTCCACCATGACGTACTAAGGTAACATACACATTTCAATTCGTAAGGATAAGACTGCATACATCTAATCAAACCGCGACATAAAAAAACAACAACTACACATTTGTAACAAATCAAAATTGTACCTTAACAGCATAGCCTCGAAGCATGAGCTTACGAACAACGAGGCGTCCAATACGACTAGTAGCACCAACAACAAGAACAGTAGTATTCTGAGCACCAGGAATAGGTGCACCATCACCATACACCAACAAATTATTACTACTACCATCATCATATTCAGTCCTAGAAATCTGTCCCAAGTTGGAAAACTTTTTCCAAACCTCGTCGAATATCTGCCTCGACTTCCGCCCTAACCCGACCGGATTAACCGCCTCATCAAGCCTTTTAATCACATCATTATTACTGTCACTATTGCTATTCTTCCCACTCTTCTCTGTTTCAACTTTACTAACAATTTGCTCCTTTTTACTACCATCAATAACATTATTTTCTTCTTCCTTAAATTTCTTGTTCTTTTTTGTCATCTTGCTGTCTTTCTTCCCTGTACTGCTGTTTTCTGTACTTGCAGATGCTCTGACAATCTGGGTTTTTCTGAAATTGTCAGTTGATATGAAATTTACCCTCTTTCTGCTGTTGCTGTTTTTTGTTGCAGCTAACAGATGAATTGCTGTTGCTGCTGCTGCTGCTGCCATTTTTTTGAATAAAATTTAAAAATTTGGGTTAGTATGTATATTAAATTTGATGAAATGATCAAGAATTCATTGAAAAAATGGTTGAAAATTAGTGTAGTATGTAAGAAAACAAGGGAGGAAGAAAGAATTTGTGATGATAAAGATTTGAACTTGTTTATGTGATTTTCACAATTTTATTTTTCTAGAATCTAGATTACAAGTGGATAAAGAATTTGTGATGATAAAAATTTGGATTTTGTGTAGGTGTTTTGGGAGGTTCCCAGAATCTGAAACTGTGAATGGCCACCATCAGAAAGTGTTGATGCAAAACTAATCTGAAAAGTGCACTTATCCACCACATAAAAATGGTGTGGCCCCGCCCATTTTGTGGCTAAAAAAAACGATATGTAATTTTATACTCTCATTGACCGGCTTATAACATCAATAAAATTTTGACAAATAATATCTTTAATCATCAATAAGTATAAATTTAGCTTAATTTCAGTTTAGTTCAATTCCTAATTTACTTATCTCATAAATAATTCATTTCAATTCAATTCAGCTCTAATCAATTCAGTTCAGTTAAGTTGTTTTCAGTAAATTAGAACAGACCCACAGTATGTTTGATCTTATTTACAAGTATAAAGTGCAATCTTGTCTTTGTGAACTTCCTTGTTGGAATTGGACTCTTAATAATTCAATTAAAGATCAAATTTTAAAGAAATATTTTCCTTATTAGTTTCTCATCTTGGATATAAAGATTGTTCAACTCGGATCTTTCAAATTAATAATACCTCCGTTTCATATTATTTGCAACGATTTAACATACAATTGAGAGAACAAATGTCTAATCTGAAAATTAGATAATACACCCGGGTGTACCATGCTTGTACCATGCTCATGGTACACCCGGGTAAACAAAAAAAGGCGGATAGAACATATAGTTTTTGATAAAGAACATACTTATGTTTGACAAAGAACATACCTTTAATATGTTCTTTGAGTGTGATCAGTGTGTTCTTTGAGTGTGATCAGTGTGTTCTTTGAGTAAAATTATATGTTCTTTACATTATAACTTATGTTATTTAATATATGTTGATAAACATATATGTTTTTTCGGGTTTAATAATACAAAGTATGTTCTTTGAATTTGGCGTGTATGTTCTTAAGGTCGTAGTGACGCCCAAGTTCTATTTTTATTATCATATGTCATATTTAAATTACTTTTATTATCGTATATTCTTTGAGTTTGATTTGTGTGTTATTTAGGTATTAACTATATGTACTTTACAATATAAATTATGTTCTTTTAACATATTTTATTTTGAAATTTGATATTGAAATCTTAAATTATTTTTAATTGAAAATAATATTAAGAGTAAAAAAACTAAATTATTATGGGAAGTTGAATTTTTTTTGGAGAGATAGAAAACTATTTTTTGGGGAAATGATATCTTTGGTAAGGATTTTTTAAGAGGTGATCAACATGACTTGCATCCCAACCCGATCTGGCCCGAAATAGGGTGAGTTTGGGCAAACCTAAAAATGCATTTTAAGTTAAAACTCGAACCAGGTTCGAAAAAAGCCCGAAAACCCACTACTTTTCTATGGGTTTGGGCACGAGAAATTATGATATGGCCCGGCCCTACTCGATTTTTTATCACCTCTAAATTTTTTCCGTTAATAATGTGTAATTTTTCAGAAAATTTTATTAAGTTTTTATCTCGTTTTTTTTTATTATATCTTTATGTTCTTTGGTAATGCATGTTTTTGTCAAATACAAACATGTTCTTTGTCAAATACATGTATGTTCTTTATGAAATACAAGATGTTCTTTCCGCCTTTTTTTTTATTTATCCGGGTGTATGATGAGCACTGTACACCCGTGTGTATAAACCACAGATTAGTCTAATCGATGCAAATAATATGAAATGGAGATAGTATTTTTTTTTTTTTTTGACGGGACGAAGGTAGTATACTAGTATTAGCTTCGATCAATTCTATTTAGGTCATGTTAAGATAATGAGCCATTGTAACCCTGTTACACGGGTTTGGTCAAAATTGGGCTGGATTTATTGGATGAGTTATTGATAGTTTGAAACTCCGTACTACTTAAATCATCTTGTTGGGCCAAGTCCACTGATAAAAATATACAATGAGATATTGTAGAATTCACATCTTTTGCCAAATGTTACGTTGTTTTGTTCATAAAATGATTTTCAAAGATCCGTATTAAATGCCATACACCTAGCTAGTTATTATTAGAATTAAAACAATAATTATATTTTCCTTAAATATGTATTTCAGTCAAAAAAGTTTCTAAAACACCTAATACTTAGCTGTCAGTTCAATCATTCTTCTCTCAGTCCATGTTGAGGCAGTTTTTTTTGTCCAAAAAAAACTTGTATATATAACACATTAACACGTTACATACTCCATAAAAACCTTATTAGAAACCTTGCTTTTATTCTTCCCAAATAGAATTCTCTCCAATTTCTACTACTTCTACAAGAAATCTTAAAGTAACTGGACGCGGTTTAATCACGCGTCCAGTTACTAGAGAGAATCCTAATCAATTTTTGTCATTTCAAAAACAGAATTATTAGAAATCCCATGATTTCTTGGGAGAATCTATACCATGTATTGTCCAACGTGGTACCACTATATGTCGTAATGATCTTAGCTTATAGCTCAGTAAAATGGTGGAAAATATTCACCCCGGATGAATGTCTAGGGGTTAACAGATTTGTAGCCCTATTCGCGGCTCCATTTCTATCTATCAAGTTTATCTCAAACAACAACCCTTACGCGATGAACTACCGTTTCATAGCAGCAGATACGCTACAAAAAGTCGTAGTCATATTTATCCTATTTTTATGGTGTAAGCTAAGTTCAAGAGGCTCGCTAGAGTGGTGCATCACACTTTTTTCTCTTGCGACTTTAACAAACACGCTTGTTATGGGGATCCCTTTGTTAGAAGGAATGTACGGCGAAAATCCATCTAAATCTTTAATGGTGCAATTATCTGTGATACAATTTATTATTTGGTTTCCTTGTTTGTTGTTCTTGTTTGAATATAGAAGAGCAACGTTATTAGTCCCACAAAAATGTTGTGAGAATGAAATTGGTTTAGGGTTTGATGAGGAGATACGAATTGGTGTTGGTGAAGCTTCTCTTCCTATTGAATCAAGTGAGATTGATGAGGCTAATAGAAGAGGTAACCAAAATCTGACTAATGATGGTCACGATCATGATCATAGAGGGGATACTAACCCTAAAGGTTAGCTTCGGACTTTGATTAATGTTTTTTAGATTTACATTTCATCCATGCTGATACGAGAAATAAAATGTTCCCTCACTCCAGTGGTGGATCGAGAAAAAATATTTAACGGGTCATAATTCATTTGATAAGTTTTAATGGGGTAATTTGATACAAATATAAGCAATTTTATTGGTGGAAACAAGTTTAATACTACTTCCATTTCTTTTTGGTTGACATGTATTCCTTTTTAGGAAGTTTTTTTTAGTTGACGCGTATCCTTTTAGGGTAAATTTTTTACCTTGCATTTACAAGCTACCCCGCTTGCTTTTTCATTCTCTCTCACCCTCTCCTTTCCTTAATATATGTGTCTAAATCAAACACGTCAACTAAATAAAAATAGAGGAAGTAGATTTTTTTTACATGTTCAAGTGGGGTCATGGTACCTCCACTTGACCCCACTTGAACACCATGCATTTGCCAGTCTGTCACTGGTTCTCTATATCCTTAAATAATTTTAGGAGTTACGCTTAGCTAATTGGAACGGTGAGATTATTATAACTTAAAAGATGTATGTTTCTTAGCGAACTTTACTAGCTAGAGGGAGCATCCTCCATCTAAAATTAATTGTCACAATGTCTCAATATTTTTATATTTAAGAAAGCATTATTAAATTTTGATCTTGATAAGCACTAAATATATATGATTGCACTATTGATGCCAGGCTCAACTTTGCAAGAATTGGGTACTAGATCGACGATGGTTGATCAGGTCCATCCTGAAACCGTGGCTCAACTCGAACTCGAACCCAAACCCAAGGAAACAATCCCTGCTGGTGCGGCAACCAGGCTGATTTTGATCATGGTTTGTAAGAAACTAATGAGGAACCCTAACTTTTATTCTAGTGTTATAGCCCTTATTTGGTCCTTAATCTCATTCAGGTGAATCACATAGAACTAACATGTTTATTTGTTTCAAATGTAGTTTCATTATCTAATGTTGATACATAATTATAAGTTGATTATACACATACTAGCTTGATCTTAGTAAGTTTTTTTCCAAATTTTTGTAGGTGGCATGTTCAAATTCCTGCAATTGTGGACAACTCAATTAAAATTCTCTCTGATGCAGGATTAGGGATGGCAATGTTTAGTCTTGGTAAGCTTAATGTTTATTTTTCTCTTTAAAATATGCTAATCATTTTTCTTTGTTTAGTTATTAGAAATTGAACAAAGGTTCGTGTAATCGTGTTCAAGTTTCAGACTCAACTACTTTATAATGACAATTTTGTTTTCCAAAATAAATGTATAGTATGTGAAAACTTTGTATGAGCTGAGTATTGATCACATAGTCATAATACTAGACCTACCCAAGATAAATTACTTCAATTATTTCCAAATTTTGGCCCAAATAAAATTGACCAGACTCTTATCAGAAGTACCTCGATATTAATTCAAAATATATAATTGAGCACATTTCTTGTTTCATGTCAAAATGTGTAGGTTTGTTCATGGCTTCACAACCAAGGATCATTGCCGGTGGGAATGCATCGGCTGCCCTTGCCACGGCGATGAGATTCCTCGTCGGCCCTGGTATTACGGTAGCTACTTCATATATTGTGGGGTTAAGAGGAACCCTGTTACAAATCACCATCATGCAGGTAATTAATGAAATCTTTACAGTAGTCGCTTGAAATATGACTACTAGCTATAATGCAAATTTTCAAAAAAAAAAAAAAAAAAAAAAAAAAACTATGAATTCTACTTTCTTGTTGAATGAATTAATGCAAATTTTCTAACCATTGCAAATATTTACTAATTTAATTTGATCTATAGGCAGCTCTGCCACAAGCAATTGTCCCTTTCATCTTTGCTCGAGAATACAATGTTCATCCTGGCATTCTTAGCACCGCGTACGTTCCTTTTAAACTCCAATTATTATTCAATTAACACGATATAATTATACCTTTTTTCTTTGTGTTAATTAGTTTATGATTGTTTGGTGCAGGGTTAGCTTTGGCATGTTGATATCTTTACCAATTACATTGGTTTATTACATCTTATTGGGGCTTATTATAAAGTGACAAAATTAGCAATACCATGTTGATATCAGAGAGTGATGCGTGGTTATGTATAATGACTTTGTTTGTTTTTATGGTATGTTAAGTTGGAGGGTCGGGACCCTTCATGGATTAATTTAGCCCAAATTAGCAGGCTGGACAATTTGGGAGAATGGAGGAAAAGGTAAGGGAATCTTTTCCCCAAGTTGTCGTTTCTAGTGGAAATTGAACCTCAAATCTCATGGTTAGAAGGTGTTTGTTATCCTATCCACTAGATCAAGCTTAGTTTGGTAATTATGAATTGAGAATTGTTGAGCGGAGAATATCAAAGAAGAGAGATATATTGATAAATGCCCCAGATTGTACCTTGTATGTAAGACATATTAGCTGCCAAATTCAAGATATCGACCCTTTTATGGACATTCTTCCCTCCCCTCCCTTTCCCTCCCCTCCTCTCCTCTTCTCCTCCCTCCCCTTCTTTTCCTTCCTCCTTTTTTTTATCCAAACACAGTACGTGTTAACCGTTTTATAATGCATAATTGCTGTATGAAATTGCCGATTTAATCGGTATGATATACTGATTAAATTTAAATCCAGATTGATATCATGCATTCAGATTATTATGAGTTTATTGTAAAATTTGAGCATCTTTCACCAATTGACCAAACATATATGGAAATCTTTCACAATTTGCGTATCTCTTAATAAAAATCAATGTTAGGAAATAGCTGAAAACCACATTGTATCAGTGCAAATTTTCCTAAAATAAATTAAATAAAAAAAAATAGCTTCATTTGTTCATTTGGATAGCCCATCTTGTTTTAATAATGTAACTATTATTATAAACTTAATTCAACTTCTTTATAAAAGTAATCTTGTTATTATTAATTTCCACTGAGGTGAACCATCCAATTGAAAACCCTTCTTTTTTTTCTTTGTGGATTCGGTAAGACTCTTAAGCCCTATTACCCCCTATTTTAGTGTGACCACTCCATGCAATTGACTGGCCATATATAAAAACTTGTATTTGACAAAAACCAATTTTAATCGGCAAAAGTTAGTAATTACAAAGAGCAAAAAAAATAAAAATAAAAATAAAAAAGTTTTAATTAGGGAAAATCATATTTGATATAAATAAAAGCTTCTACACATCAATTTTATCAAGTGTCCAATTTAAAATCTAATAATATTATTAATAATAATAAAAAACATGATATTGAAGCTAGTTACAAAATATACTAGCTTAAAAATTTGATATGTAAAGGTAAGCTATAAGGTATTTTGGTAATTTAATTTGCAAAGTTTTCATACGAGAGGGGTTTAAAATTATAAAGTAGTTTATTCTTGGTGAGGTGGCAATCAAGTGGGGTAAATTGATTAAAAAAAAGATAAAAAATAGTAAAATTTTAAAGTAATTTATTTTTACTCAACTGAAATTAATTAATTTTACTAATCTAAACTAAAATTATTTTTACTAAAATGAAATTATTTCTACTTAGGGTCTGTTCACATTTACTGAACTGTTCTGAACTGAAATAATTGGAGCTGAACTGAACTGATTGGAGCGGAGCTGAACTGAATTGAACTTAACTGAGCTGAAATAAATATTTTATGAGAGAAGGAAATTAGGAGCTGAACTGAACTGATTGGAGCTGAATTGAATTGTAATTAAGTAAATGTGAACAAACCCTAAATATTATTATTTTAAAGTGAAGTGAACAAGGGCAAATAACCCTATAACAAATAATCTAGTTTTTTCCTGTAAAAAATAAAATAAAATAAATTCTAGTTTTCCTAATTACAAGGCCAAATAACCCTCTCTGGTAAGTGGGAATTGGGGCTTGGGAATGGGAATTGAGGAGGTGGGAGTATATATTTCCTTGTTTGTTTTGTGAGAAGGGGAATTGTAGGTGGGATTGAGAATGAGAATAAAATTGCTCTATTCCCATGATTTTATTACTTGGGGGCCGGGAGGAGGGCAAGTAATAGAGATGGGGATTGGAAATATATAGGAAAAGACTATTTTGTCATTAGTGAAAGCATAAGGATATAATATTAGTAAGGGTGTTATTGTAAATTTGTTATTTATTCCCAATCAATTCCTTTCACACCCCAAACAAGAAATTGTCAATATTTTATTGAATTCCAACCCTCTAATCCTCAAATTACCATTCCCACTTGCCAAACGCCCCGTAAGTCCCTAACATCAATCAATATATCAATCAATTACATACTACTAAAAGCGAATCTTAAGACACACTTGTCAATGTATTATTAAAAAATTTCCCGCCAAAAGTACCTGTTAAAAAAATTATTGTTACTTAAGGGGAAAAAAATTATATCGAAATTATGACATAATTTGTTTTATATAAAATATAAATCTTTTCCTAAAAGATTAAACTATCCATTATAAGTTTTATGACTATTACATGTTTTTTTAAATATTTTCTTTTGCATGCTTTTGTTTAATATATACTCTATATTTTTTAATACTCAAGTCATTATATTAAAAAATTTATAATAAAATTGTCAAAAATATTTAACAACCGTGCATTGTACGGGATTTAACCTAGTATAAATCTAAACAAAAAACATAAATTTTCCTAATTATACGCGTCCATGCCTCCAATTCTTAAGCCGTAGCCACGCCTTCCCTACTAGCAAGCGGAGGTAGCGTCTGCGCAATCACAAGGTTAGCCCTTTTTAGTTTTTACGTTTATATATATATATATTTTTTTTTATTTTTATTTTAAGGCAACGTTTTTATAATTAATAATACATAATTTGCTGATTTAATTTGTATGGTTTAGTGGTTTACTGATTAAATTTAAATCAAGACTGATATTATGCATCCAGATTACTATGAATTTACTGTAAAATTTTAGCATCTTTTTTAATTAACATTGTGTCACGTAATTTGAGTATCGATATTTAACTTAGGGTTTCAAAAAAAAAAAAAAAATTGTTCTATGCCTAAAATTGTTTTGCCTGATTTATTAAAATTGGTTAGTTATTCTTCATTGAATTCAATCTGATATTTTTGTAATTGATTTATTGCAATTCGTTTATAGTTTTTGATAATTTAGGAGCATGGAGAAGAGGGGTGCAGTAGTAGATTACTCCAAACTTTTAGATGAATTGTTAATACGAATTGTTGAAAATCACATTGTATCAGTGATAGATTTCATCAATTTCTCTTGTGTTTGTCATTCATGGCGTCGTGCTGCCAATGCTTGTGATATTGCGAAATTGAGAACAAAATGGCCGCGGCATCAGATGCCGTGGCTAATGCTAACTGATGGCATTGACGGTCCTGAAGTACAATCCAAGATTAGAGAAGCTACATCTTGTCCTTCCGATAAAGCTTGTAGTATTATTATAAGCAACCGCGAATTGGGGTTGTATTACTCAAGCATTGACCCTCTTTGTTGTCAAAGAAGTTTGCTAAATATGAGCTGGAATAGGAACATGAGTTATGATTTTAACATTCCTGAAATGCACGGGAGGGCTTGTTGGGGTTCGCCTTATGGTTGGGTTGTCACATTAGGTGTTGATCGAGAGATGTACTTGTTTAATCCTTTTACTAGGTCTCGGCTACCCCTTCCTTCTCAATCGACTTTCCATCGTGATAGTGATAGTGATCGTGATAGTGGTTATGTAGAGATATATGGCCCTGTTCTTTCTAGAGTGGTCTTGCTTCGAGTTCCTAGCAAGTATCGTGGTGTTGATATTGATGCTCGTGTTTGTGATAATTATGATAATGATGATGATGTCATATGGCTTGTGGTTGTTATGTATAACCACCTTGTAGGTGCAGCAATGCCGGGAGACAATGCTTGGACAATATTATCCGAGTGTTTTTTTTGTAAAAACTAGTTATACTTTACCTATGCAAGATGTTTTCTACTGTCACCAAATGAGGTCATTGATTTTTGTTGATGGCAAAGCTAACTTGTTCTACTCCGACCTCCATGATCCAGAACACCCACAACAGATACAGCCTTATTTGGCCGGGCCTCCAATCACAGAGCAAATAGGGGACAAGTACAAGTGTTTCACTCTATATATTATCGAGTCCAATGGCAATATTCTTATAGTAAATAAGAAAACTTTGATGGGTGAAACTTGTATGTATCATACTTGTAATTTTAGTGTCTACAAGCTTGATGAATCCACAAAAAGTTGGGAGGAGGTGAATGATTTGCAGGGTGTTTCTCTGTTTTTGGGCCTTAATGTAAGCATGTCTATCAATGCTAAAGATGCTGGTTGTCGAAGCAATTGTATATACTTTTGTGATGATCTTCGAGCATTTTATTATGGTACTAAAATCAGTTATGTTGGAGGGCATGACATGGGTGTATATTCTATGGATGATGGGACGATCCAACCTTTGTATACAGGTCATCATTCAAGGTCATCTCATTGTTGCCCATTTTGGTTATCTCCTATGCTATGATAAGTTTTTCTTAGTAGGGTATTATATATTTGTGTACTAGTTTTGTTTTGTTATGTTAGCTTAATTTATATTCAAAAAGGTTACACTTAAATGTCGATGTAACTGATACAAACAACAGAAAATTTTATATCTTAAAGAATTATTAGGATTATGATTTGATGGACACAATGATAGATCGACCTTATATAAGCTCAATCTCCTTTTAGAGAAAGATTGATATAGTAAGGGCCTGTTCTCATTGACTGAACTCAGCTGAGGTGAACAACAGGCCCTAACATCCGCTTGATGGCGTGATGCATGGTACATAGAAATTGCTCATATCTCTAAGCAGCAAGTATAATGCAGCTTGCCTAGACATGTCTGGCCTGATGGCGTGTAGCAAGGTATATGGACGTACGAGGCGAAGAAGCAGAAAAATGGCAGCAGTCTTCTCAACCTACTTCAATTCTTCTTGGTATATTTCTCTTCCAATTTTCTCATTGAATATAATTCGTTAATTCCTTCCTCTCTGGTACATATCTCTTCCCTTTCTTTCCCCATTTATGTATACATCAGTCTTAATTAACCGTAGAAACTTTTTGGGCATAGAATTAAGTTTTCTTTTACTAAAATTGTACGTGATTTATGTTTTATATTGCATGATAAAGAGGGTTGGGTTTGTTTTTGTTCATCAATTGTGATTATCTTATGTTATCTTCTTGTGTAACATTGCATTTAACAGCCTTTAACGTTAGTTTAGTGCTTAATGCGTTCCTTAGTATGTTGTTTAGGGTATGGTAATGGTATGTTCGTTGTTGTCTCTTAGATTATTGGTTACATTACATGTACAATTTATCTCCTACAAAGTATATATTTGTTTAGGCTATGTAGGGCTGGTTATCAAATAGCTTGCGGCATTTGATTTCTATCTAACTTAATTGGGAACTATCGATTTTTGTTAACACTATATATATTGATTATGTTAAAATATACGTAGGAAGTAAGAAGAGTCTTTATAAATAGGACAAGGGACGAGTGCATGATGGACTTATTAGGGAGACAAGGGGGGAATACAAAGAATTGAAGGTGCAACAAAGACATGAATTAGAGAAGCGCGATTTTATTTCTTTACTGTGGCTTTTTCTAATCGAAAGAACAATTATTAAGGGGGTATTTGGTTTACATAATTAAGTATAAGGTATGGATTTAGAATGATTTAAACCCATACTTTAGGTTCGTTTAATAATTTTAAGAGTTCCAAACCCATACCTCAAACCCCCAAGGTATGGGGTTTAGAAACCTTAGGGGGGGAGGTGGGTTTGGCTCATTCCCATACTTTCAGGTATCAAATAAAAGAAAAAAATTGCATTCCATAATCATACCAAACATATGGTATTAAGAATCAAGTTCCAAACACATACTACTATGGTTTCATTCCTAATTCCAACCCCATACCAGTTTGCAAACCAAACGCCCTCTAAGAGTTTTGTAAAATGTTAAAAGATGAACAGGCTAAGGGTGGAGAGGATAAGGGATGGTTTAAATTAAAGCACCATTTGTTTTATTCTAACACCTTTATGTTCATTTGATCATACTTCTACCATTTTCATTTCTAAAATGTGGTTTTGCTCCTTGATTATCAAGGAATGTCTTAGATGCATATGTGAGGATAAATGTGGAGGAAAGAAGGAAAAGTCAAACGTGATGAGATATATACGTCGTTCAGCATAGCAAGAGATAGAAATTTGTAGGAAAAACCGCTTGCCAAATATTCTTAGATTGATTGTTAAGTGTTATCTTGATTGCTTCCCCTCTCTATTTATAGGTGGATTACTAAGAAATAATAAGGTTGATAGGATTGAGATGACATGCATACTAGCTAGATCAATGAAGGATGAAGAATTGAATCGTAAGATTATCCACATCATTAAAATAGGAGTAATAAAAAGGTTACTACATGACTAGATGCACATCTTAAATTTAAATTAACACCGCGGTATGTGGTTGCCAATTGCAGCCGGCAACTCCGCAAGGACTTGGCCAAACTGATAAGAAGCGTATACATCTAATAAGCACCCTTTCACTATCTGCATGGGGTAATATTCCCTCTGAATTGCGCTCTTTTAGATGTCATGCATTTGACCTAGCCACGAAAATCGATAATTTTATTACACATTAAAACTATAGAATTACTAATCTTGGAAAAAATATACATAAATGATACTAGTATATTAAATGTTTTGTATACAAAATTATTATAATTGGATAGATGTGTAGCTTGAACAATGAACATGCAATGTGTCTCATGCTGCTATTTTATTGAAACTTTCCATGCTCTTGAGTTAAATACTAATAACTTAATAAGTAACTAGTTAATTACTAGACATAGAATTGTGCTTGTCATGAAGAAATTGCATGCCGAAGCCATGTGGCATCCTCTAAGTGGTAGAGCACGACCAATCGAAAGATGCCAAGTCTACTTAATTAATCTAATTTAAAGATTAATGATTAATTACTGATTTCTAATTAATCAAGTTGTTTAAGTAGTGTTTTTAATGAATAACACTTGTACTTAACGTTGGACCACATGCCAACAAAATTAGGATGTGGGCCAACTAACCAAAAAAATCGATAGGGATGTACGTTGAAAGCACTAATTTTGTGCTTATTTGAAAAATTCTTCTTCCATAAAGAAGAAAATTTAAAGCATCACTTAATTAAAAAATTGAAGGGGAAAGTTCCCTTTTGTTTGATAATATTCTCATAAAATTGTACGGACAATGTCCCTCCACGCATTTGGCTAAACCTACATTGTATATGGTTTAAAATTACATGCATTTTACTATATATTTGGCAGGTCGCGTCTAAAAAAGTCTACATGTACATTGCAATCAAGCTGTAAAAAACTGAGAGTTATCTAATTATATCAGTTTTAGCATGCCTTAAATTAATCGAAAAATTGTATTCTGTGTCTCAAATTAGTTGTCTTATTTGGTTTTTGATATGCTTATGACAATATGACATCATTCGAATAGTTAAATATGTTTTTTACATTATAAAAAAATAATTAGTTTGAAAATACACCTTCACTCAAATTCATCAAGATTTTAATTGAGTGAAATTGTTGCTCAGGTTGGGCTGCATGTAATTAGAGCAATTTTATAATGATGCAATGAAGTAAATCGATATAATTAACGTGTTTGTTACACACAATATCCAATTAGTATATATACGAAAAGTACAGTAGCTTTTAATACATGAATACATGATACATCAAAGTGTATAGTGGCATGGTAATAACCAAGATATCTAAGGTATCGACTTCTCATTATTCATCTCAGCAATAGTACAATAACACTCTGTCCTTTACACTCTAACTAAACTAATGAAACAATTCGATAATATTTTGATCTTATAAGTTTTAGAATTTTCATTTTCTCGTGTGAACAAAAAAAAACAAGAAATTTATTTAAGTGGTATTGACTCAGAATAAAGAGAACACCCTTCCATGTTGCGGTGAATTTGACACAAATGGAATACATAAATTGTTATAATAAATAGAAAGTTCTACTAAAAAAAGTGAATGATTCAAGTCAAAATATTACTAAAATGATATCATTGATCGTGTCACAAGAAAATAGTTTAATGTTTTTATGAACATTCAACACATAATACTATACAATTATATGTACAATTAGGGTGATATGGACCGGTGGAATATTTATGACTTATATGTGATGATTAATTAATAAAATAGTGTAAAGTTAATCAATAATTAATCTACATAATTAAACTGGTGCATATATATATATATATAGTCTAAGAAAAAGATCCTATCCTAATCTAAAACTAGAAGTTTCAGAGGAATTATTGAAGAAAAGTCGAAAATTTGATCGATGATTATGGCGGCTATTGATCCAGAAATGAAGCTGCTAGGATTATGGTGCAGCCCTTTTAGTAAAAGAGTAGAGATTGCTTTGTGTTTGAAAGGTTTACCATATGATTACATTGAAGAAGATATTCAGAACAAAAGTCCTGAACTTCTCAAGAACAATCCTGTTCATAAAAAGGTTCCTGTTCTTGTCCGCGATGGTAAGCCAATCGCGGAGTCACTAGTGATTTTGGAGTACATTGATGAGATGTGGAACGACACGCCTTCCATCTTGCCTGAACAACCATATGAACGAGCTATGGCTCGATTTTGGGCTAGATTTATTGATGAGAAGGTAACATATCACATATGCAATGCTGTTATATTATATACATTCATTCATTCATTTTCCTTTTCTTTGGTCTTGGATATTTTAAACAAAAATTAAAGGAAATTGGAATTTAAGGAAATGTAGCTCATTTCAAGATTGATTAACTCTATGTTCATATTACAGATGCATACATCTTTAAGCATAACTTATCATTCTATTTGGAATATATTTGTTTACAAATTGGATAATTCAATTTTGTGTAGAAATTTTTTGATAAAAAATGTACTAAAATGGTCATGTAGAGCACAATCTTAACACATGTTGATCAAGCAATATGAAATAAAGAATCAAGTTTTGTGTTATAACTTTTGTGTGTTACATCTTTTAAGATAAAATCGGTATTAGTTTTTGTTTGGGTCCAATTTAGTCCAATTGGGCCTGGTCACTGAATGATCCAATTAAAAGCCCAAGGTTAAGGTTCAACTCTCCAAATGTGCTAAAGTCAAAAATCAACATCCTCAAAGCCATGTCAAGGTCAGTCAACGGCCCAATCAGCTTGGCCCAGCCCAACTGACTTCCGGGCCCAATCCGCCTCCTTCATTAGCCAAGGTATAAAAGCCAACAATTTGGTCAATTCTTGGTAAGACAATAAAGCCTCAAGCAACTAAACTCTTACACAGCTTTCTCTCTCTAATATACTGACTTAAGCATCGGAGGGGCCTTCCTCGGCGTCCCCCCCGAGGCTAGTTTACGTGTATTTGTTGTGCAGGAAACCCTCGGCTCCTGCGTCGTTCGGACCGAGACCAAGTTCCCTCAAGATAAAAGGATCTTCCGAGATTCGATTGTTTTCATCCGAAACAATTTGGCGCCGTCTGTGGGGAACGCTACTAAATTTCGCGTCAGTCATCAAACACTCCGGCAGTCGCCATGACTAAGAGTGGAAAGAGTTCCAAGAAGGCTAAGAAGGGAGGAGGCCGGATTACGGTGAGGGAACGCCAGCCGGTTTATCCCTCCCCGGAGCAAGCCTCTTCCGAATCGGAGGCCCCCATTTCTCCGGAAAGGGAAGCCTCAAGAGGTCCTAGCCTCCAGGAGGAGAACACCTCGCACCACACTCGGCAGCCGGGGCCATCCCCGAGACCGAGTGGCTCAGGTGCGAGGAACTCCCCGCCGCGCCATAGCGTGCAATCCAGGTCACATCCGCGGGAGACTCCTCCCTCCGGACCCTCCACCGAGGAAGTGGCCAGAGCAGTGGCCATCTGCATGGAGTTCCTTAAAGCTCAAGGGGCTCCAATCCAGATGCCTGATGATCACCAGCCGAGAAACCTGAAAAGGAGGATCGGTCAGGATGATGGTGGACAAGTTCCACCACATAGAGAGCTCGGCCAGAGGTGGCGAGGGGACACCCGAAACTCCAGTAAGGAGAGGAGGAGGAACCCTCAACCCTCTGACCACTCTGAAGCTCAGAATTCCATGGGGCCCTCCAAGGACCCGGAATTCGCCCGCCAAAGCGTTCACGAACGCTTGGGTTCGAGGGAGGTGAGTGTGCATAGCCGCCTCACCTTCCCAGAGGATACCGGACCCCACCCAACCTTGTCTCAGCCGGGGACGAAAACCACTTCCACCTCTGAGAGAGGAGGGAGCGAGGTCCCTGAGGCCGGGTACAAGGGGAAGGCGGTCATGGTTCCATCGAACTCGCCCTTCCAGAAGTGGATTCTGGAAGAGCATGTGCCAACGGTCAAAATCCCGGCACATATTACTTACGATGGTACCTCAGATCCTAAGGATCACATTGCCTCTTACGAGGGGCACATGTATCTGAACCCGAGGTCTGAGGCTACCTGGTGTAAATACTTTCCTACGACCCTCAAAGGTGTTGCCCAATCCTGGATCACCAAAGGGCTCAAGGAAGGCTCCATAACCGGTTGGAACGACCTCTCCAACAAGTTCAAGAGCAAATTCTCTACGGCCAACCGCCGAGAGAAGACCACTGCAGAGCTAATGAGTCTGCAGCAGGCGGAGGACGAGAGCCTCCGCGACTATCTGACTCGCTTCAGCAACGAGTCATCCGGAATCACAAGCCTGGATCAAGGCCTGGCCGTGTTCGCGCTACGGAACGGCCTCCAAGCTGGAAAGTTCCTGGACTTCATGGTCATGCATCCCCCGCAGACCCTGGAGGAAGCCTTGGAAGCATCGGATAGGTTCATCCGAGCCGAGGAGTGGAACAGATCCAGGTCTCAGTCTCGTCCGAGAATTGAGAAGCCGAAAGGGCAGCAGCCCGAAGTCTCGGCGCAGAGGAAAGGGAAGGCTAAGGCCTCAGAACCGTCCTCTGCTGCCGAGCCGAAGAAGGAAAGACACTTTCCCTACACGGGAAGGTACGATTCATACACTCCACTCTCCCTTCCCCGTGCTAAGATTTTCAGCACGACGAAGGACGAGGGGAGATTCAAAAAACCTCGTCCGTTGCCTCCCTGGCATCAGACGAGGGGAAAGGACCAGTGGTGCGAGTTCCATGACTCACCCGGACATCGCACCGAGGACTGCGTCCAGCTGAAGGACCAGATTGAGGATCTGGTCCGCAAGGGGTACCTGAGCCAATACCTCGCGGACAGGCGCGAGGAGAAAAAAGCTGAAAAAGATTCTCGGCAGGACCTCAACTTCGCTCGGAAGAAGGATAAGGGACCTCAGGGCAAGGAGTCCCTCGACATCCTGGTTATTTCCGGGGGAATCTCGCGAGGCACAGCCAAACGCCAACTGAGGGGTCTAACCCATCAGATTCATCAGGCTGAGCTTCGGCAGTCCCAGTCACCGGCGCCGAACATCCTGTTCACAGCCGAAGACTGTGAGGGGGTGGTATACCCCCACGATGACCCACTAGTAATCATTCTGGGCATCGCCAACCGCAACGTCTGGCGGACCCTCGTCGACGGCGGTAGCGGGGCGAACATCCTCTTCCGAGGAGCGTTCGACCAGCTGAGGATGGGAGCCGAGCACCTGGCCCCCGCACCCTACCCGGTGTCTGGATTCAACGGCTCTTCCTCGTATCCTGACGGGAAGATTACACTTCCTGTCACCATCGGCGAAGGCCGAGCAGCTAGGAATATCATGGCCGAATTTTTGGTCGTAGATGCTCCATCTGCATACAACGTGATCATGGGGAGACCCCTCATTCACGGCATTCAAGGAGTCGTCTCCACGTATCATCAAATCATGATATACGTTTCAGACGAGGGACGCTCCGAGAAAATAAAGGGCAGTCAAAAAGAAGCCCGCCGATGCAATCACCTCAAGCCATCCACGTCTCGCCGAGGCGACCGTGGCGATGGGGAGGAAAAGCACCGGGACCGAAACGCCAAAAAGCCGAGAGGCTCAGACGTTTCGGCTAATGAAGCCCCAGACAACGAGAAATCTGATGGGGGCCAAAAGGCTGACTCCGCCTCAGAGCCGAACGACTCTGATGGCCAGCCGCGGTCAGGAAAGTCTGCTAATATTGATAGCAGGCCGGAATTCGAGGAATCCAACTCTAAGAGCATGGAAACGGATGACCTGACCGAGTCAATAGAACTGACCGTAGGAGATCCGAACAGATGTGTTAGCATCGGGTCGTCACTGGAGCCAAACACCCGTGCGGCACTCGTCCAACTCCTACGGGCCAGTGGAGACGTGTTCGCCTTCTCAGCCGCAGAAATGCCCGGGATTGATCCGGACTTCGTCTCCCATAGGCTTAATGTCGACCCCTCCAGTCGACCCATTAAGCAGAAAAAGCGGAACTACTCCGCCGAAAAGAACCAGAACATCGCAGCTGAGGTCGATAAGCTCCTAGATGCTGGGTTCATTGAACCCTGTCAGTATCCGGAGTGGCTGGCCAATGTTGTAATGGTTCAGAAGGCAAATGGTAACTGGAGGATGTGCGTTGACTTCACGGACCTGAATAGGGCATGTCCCAAGGACTCCTATCCGCTGCCGAGGATCGACCAACTGGTCGACTCGACAAGCGGGCATGCTCTGCTCAGTTTCATGGACGCATTCTCGGGATACCATCAGATCTTCATGCACCCCGAGGACCGAGCTAAAACAGCGTTCATAACAAGTTCCGGGTTGTACAATTACAGAATGATGCCCTTCGGATTGAAAAATGCGGGGGCAACATATCAGAGGTTGGTTGATCAGGTTTTCGCCGAGCAAAAAGGCCGAAACATGGAGGTTTATGTTGACGACTCAATCGTCAAAAGCATAAAAGAAAAAGATCATGTCACGGACCTAGCCGAAACCTTCGCCACCCTCAGAAAATACAAAATGAAGCTGAATCCGAAGAAATGTGTCTTCGGCGTGAAGTCAGGCAAGTTCCTCGGCTTCATGGTCAGCAAGAGGGGGATTGATGCAAACCCCGCCAAAGTACAAGCTGCTTTAGACCTTCCCGAGCCGAAGACAAAAAGGGATATTCAGCGTCTAGCCGGGAGAATGGCTGCCTTGTCCAGGTTCATCTCACGAGCCTCAGACAAAGGGCTCCCTTTCTTCAAGGCGCTGAAGCTCCAAAATTCAAAAGGCATTGAATGGGGAGACGAACAAAAGTCAGCCTTTCAGCAGCTCCGTGAACACCTGGCTCAACTCCCAACACTGGCAAGGCCAGTCGTAGGAGACATCCTATACTTATACGTGGCGGTCAGTCCAGCCACGGTAAGCGCGGTGCTGCTAAGGGAAGAAGAAAAAGTTCAACAGCCGATCTATTTCGTCAGCCACACCCTGACGGATGCCGAGACGCGCTACCCATTGTTAGAAAAAGTGGCTTATGCAGTGGTGGTGGCTGCTCGGAAGTTGCGACCCTATTTTGATTCTCATCAAATAGCGGTTCTAACTGATCAGCCGTTAGAGAAAGTCCTCGGCAAGGTTGAAAAATCCGGTAGACTAGCAAAGTGGGCTTTCGAGCTCACCGAGTTCAGTATCGGTTATCAGCCGAGAACAGCCATCAAGGCGCAAGCCTTGGCAGACTTCTTGGCCGAGTGCTCCTATCAGGAGACTCTGGATGC